CACACACACACACACAAACACACCTGTTTCCTGACACACACGTAAGCCTTCACTTCCCTGGCACCGGACCCGCTCCTGTCTGATCCAGCGCGTCACTCCTAGTCCTATCCCCCAAAGCCACACTGCATCACAAACAAAGCCATGACGTCAAACGAAGCCTGCGCCAAGCTGCACAAAGTGAACCACATGTCCCTCGGACAAATTGATGCGTCTGAGAAAACACTTGGACTTCCTCTCCACCTCTTCCCAAAGCCCAAAAACAAAAACAATATGTTCCCTATTTTTAGCAATACCCCGGGGTAATAGAGTTTTTAAAGAGAACTCCTTGTTTCATAGGTAGGCCTAACTCCTAATCATAATAATGTACATTGTATTTCTTCATCCATTTCAAGATAGATGAATGTTGTCTTTGGCGTCTTCTCTATCCAGTACTAATAATAGACCTGTCAGTGTTTTTGTTTGTAAGAGCGTGTTGCAGACCTCCCCCCCCCCCTCTCCCATATGCCCCAGAAATAATATGGAAATAAATATGAATGTGTGTGTGTTTGAATGTGTGTGAGTGTGTTTGCGTGTTTGTTTGTGTGTGCGTGTTTGTTTGTGTGTGTGTGCGCGCGCGTGTGTGTGTGTGTGTGTGTGTGTGTGTGTGTGTGTGTGTGTATGTGTGTGTGTCTGCGTGTTGATACTATGTTTGTATGACATGTATGTTCATGTTTGTGTGTGTATACGTATTTCAAAAACTCCTTTTCGAACCGCTACCCACACCATCTCCGAGAATGATACCACCAACTGAGCTTACAGTGGTTGATAGAAAACAAAAAGTCAAGCAGTAACAAACACTTTGAACAAGCAATTATAGTAGTTATCAGCGTGGCATCACATCACAGAACCCCAAGAAAGGCAGCCATTGAGTAAACAACAGTTCCCATGACAACGTTTCCCAGGTAATGCCACGCGCATCTTGTTTACACGGACGACTTTTTTACCACTGCAATGTCGTTAAGCATCAAAGAACCTGCTAAAAGGTTGCTGGTAAATAGTTTTATTTCCAACGAGTATTTCAACGAGTATTTACCTTGTTCTGTATTGGCGCTCCCGGATTTTTTTTATTACCTCCTCTTCCAGATAAAATGCTTTGTCTGCAATTTTAAAAGCAGACCACCAAATTATAGATCTATAGGGAAATATGCAGGGGCGGGGGATTTTTTTTTGGGGGGGGGGGGGCAGAAAAGGTGGAAAAGTTGTTACATTGTTCAGTTGTTTTTTTTTTTTAAGCCAGTTTAACCCAGAATCACGTGACGGTCAAACAAAATTAAATGATCCCGTTGATTGTAAATGTGTTACGCTTCCTTCGATACAACTGAGATACATGATCTAATTTACGAGACATTCTCTCTCTCATGTTTGTTTTTGTTTTTGTAAAGTGTTTTACGGTGCTTGCAACTGCATAGGTCATATGAGCGTGCGGGATACATTAAATATTTTCAGTTTCTAGGAAATTTTGAATTTTGCCCGGGTGGCGGCCAAAGCCTACTCTTATCGATTTTAGACCACCAAGGGATCTTTAACGTGCGCAACTTGCACAAGGGCCCTCCGAGATTTTTCGCCCTTGTCCGAGAAGGCTAGGTGTAGATCTTTCCTACCAGAAGATCAGGGGTGTGGC